TGTGAAGAAAATTAACTCTATCCCAGCCAAAACCAGCACATTAAGTAATTCCTATTTACACAGTAGATGAGATCTTGTGAAGATAAGAGTTTCTCAAGACTGGTGGAGATAACACTACTAGTATGCTGCTTCTGGAATATCTAGTTATTTCCCTTTGTTACTTAGTTTTGTGTTTTTGTTATATATCACCACTCAGTTGTGTGATATGAAACTATATATAATACTGTGCATTTGCATACAGTCATCCACAACTTTGTTTTCCTATGCTACACAAGTAAGATACTATAACTTGAACAACTGGAAATATCACAGTCCAACAGGATTCCCTAACATATCTGTAATACATCAAGCAGTTGTTGGCTAGTCATTATTACAACCTTCTCAGATGGAAGATTATCCATTATACACATGGAGAAACTACATCACTGCTTACTGCTGACTTGGCAAGTTCTTGATTTTCTGTTCTGTGTTCTGTCTGTACTCAGAAACTGTGATTTTTCATTACTTTTTCCTCTACTTCTGCTTCTCTCATTCTTTTCTCTCACAACTCACATCTTTAGAGCTTTTATTAGATGCTGTGATTTCAGACAAAGAATTGCAGTACAACCAGAAATGTACAGGGGCAATGTTGAAAGACTGAAGTCTGGTTGTAGGCTGCACTTCCACTCTTGCTCTTAAGATGGTAGCCTAAACTTGGGTATGGAATCCATGCACTTTGTTTTTGTTCTTGCTGAAATGACAGAATTTCTCTTGTGATTTCTGAAGTGGGAATTTTTTAAGAGCAAACTTTTATGAGAGGTAAGGTGAAAGATTTTTGTGAATTGGAGCAAAAAATAGAAAATGTCATTTTATTTTTAAGGTTTGAGCATATATGTGGTTCAGAAAGAATGTATGGAACAAGACAGGGAGAAATATGCAGTGGAAGAATAAGAGCTTCTGAAATGGCTTGGCAGCCTGTGGCTCTGATGCTGTCCCTAAGACAGCAAAACAGGCAAATCTTTGTGCTGAAATTTGTCCAAGCAGAAGGGTTGGGGCAATACTTATCTCTGACATAGACAACTTGGGTTTGCTATAGGCTAGCCAAGACAACTTGGTTACTCAATGGCTGTACAGTGCTCTGAATATGTGTTAAGTATCTAATTATGCCACTTTATTTGTCTACCAGATGCTTAACATGGATTTTGGGGGGAAATTTGGAAGGCAAATGTAAAAGAGAATTTCAATTCATCATAATAAATAAGTTGACTTCCCTTTCTTTCCTTTCTCTTCAAAAACTACTTTGTGTAAGTTTTCCTGATACCGTTCATTACACACTTTTTTGTGCTTAACAGAAACCTTTAAAATCTTTTCAGAAGATAAAAATGGGGGACTTCTACCATGTGGAGCTAATATTGTTTCTTCTTTAGGTTCAACAGGCTTCCTTTTACAATGCCTTTTATCTTCTCTGTTTCCTGCTAATCACAGTTCACAATCTCATGGATTTTGTGAAAGACTAGGATTACACTTACATCTTTGTAGTAACTTTAAAATATCACACAGCTCTTGCAATTTTCCCCCTTCTAAAGAAACTGTAAGAGAAAAACAGAGAAAGAGAAAAAAGAACATGCACTCCCGTCCTGATTTGTCACCAGATAAGCACATTGGATTCAATCCTACATACCTTCAGCACTCAAAATTTCCAGGAAGGTTAACAGGAGTTTTGTGAGAACATGGAATGTAAGGGTCAGGGCCATTCAGAAGGAAAGGAATCCACGCCATGTACTGTGCAAATTATGTCTGTCTCTACATTAGCACTGAAATTACTTCTATAATAGGTCAGGTAATAGCCATTTTGATTTATGTTTGAAAGAAAAAACTGAAGAGACTATGTAGAAAATTTTCCTATAGTCTTTTTCTATAATTTTTCTGTAACAATTTTGCCTTTTCAGGCATGTTGCTGGGAAAGGCTAACTTCAGTTCCAGGGTCAACAAAAGTCAGTTCATTCATACTCAGCTATTCAGATTTATGCTATTTTTAAAAAAAAAATCCAGGCTGACCTAAAAGAAATGCAATGCACTATAAAAAAGTGTAGAGTAATGTCTCTGGCAAGATCAAAATCCCCAGTGGCAAAAGTGGCTTTCTTGTTCCCTTGTTTTTGTAGCAGGTACCTGAAAATAGGAATTCCTTGGTTGTTGCTGAAGTATTTCCACATATTGGCTTACTTATACAGGTTCTACAGCTCTACAAAGGGCAGCACATCCTAACTGTGCCATATGCAATATTGATAGATCCCCTAGAACCACGGGGTGACTGAACTGCACAGAACCAACATTGTCCTATCATTGCTAGTCTGCTCCTAATTTTGTGTTGTTAGACACTGTGGTGTGAGGAACACATTTGGCCAGGTTGTGCTTTGTATTTCTTCATGCTTACATTGCTACTCATGGCCTATGGACATAGGAGGGAAATTGTGTGTAAGGAGATTTTGACAGCAGCTGTCATATTTGTTAGGTAGGGCCAAGCTGGAATCAAGAGATTCGAGGAATCAGGTCAGTCGGAATCAGGTCAGTCAGAATCAGCCCAAGTCAGAAACAAGAGAAGTCAAGATACACATCAGGAAAGGGCATCACTGGCAGCCAGGGTAAAGATCCTATTTGCAGCAGGAGCCTGGAACAAGGAACAGGTAGAGCTAGAACAATGTCAGGAGCTAAAGGTAGGCCTTGAGAATCAGGGCTAGGAGCCAGAGTCACAGCATGACTTGGGAGATGTGGAAAGGGCTACAAAGAGCTAAAAGCAGATATCAGGTATGTGGGAAACCACATACACCAAAACTGTACAGACTTACAATCCATTCCTCAACTATTAGGCCTTATCAGGTCCTTAGTTTTTGAAAAACTGTTTACAGCCTCCTGCTAGACTGAAAGTCCAGCAGTGCTTAAGAGGTATGGCCATGATCTGCTAAAGAGACTTTGGTCCATGCAATATTCTTACATATTTCATTCATCTTTCATCTCTGTATTCTATTACCTTTGAAAATGACCTCTATCGTGAATTAGAAGAAAACACTTTTTTGCAGTATTAAGACTTTATATCCATACAAGTGGGTAAAGGAAAACTATTGAGTCAGATTTACTGCAATCTGAAGTTATAATGAGAGCTGCAATGAGCCCCCCACGACAATGTGGGGAGTCCACCTGAGATACTGGTTTGCAGTTGTTTGAACTGCCCTGGCTTCTGCAGCTGTTGCCTTCATGGCTAGCTGAGAACTCTCTCCTCAACCTGCTGTCTGACTGTTACTCACTTGTACCTTAGAGCTGCCGTCTGGGTGGCAGTAGCACTGCTGCCTAGAAGAGGGAGGAACATGTCACTGCTTGCTTGTCCTGCTGATACCAGTCTTCTATGGCTTTTACTCCTTGGAGAGACAGTAGAAAGTATTCTCTGCTTGGGAGAACAGCCCAGGAAAATAGAGATTGTATTTGTCTACCATAAGCACTTAACACTTCAGTGTCTAAATATCTTTCTCAACTCTGAGTGGAGTTGCTTACCCCCAAAAAAATATGTTAGGAGGGATACATTATTGATATTGTTAAAGAACCCTCACATTTTGCTCATAACATCTGGCTGGTGTTACACTCTAACCTCTCAATGTAGCAAGTAATACATTTTTCCCATTATGACAGTTTAACTTGACACTTCCTCCTACAACTGGACAATTCAGTGAATCTTACATTTTAGGATACGATTCCTCAAGTTTGCCTTAAAGTATTGTTTTTCTGTGTGGCAATTTATGTTTTTATAGGATAGGATACATCATGAATTTGCAGAAGTTTGGATGTGAATCCTGGTTTGGTAAGCTTAAGTAACCTTTAAATAAACCAGGAGTTTCAAAGAGATGACTCAGCCATATTGCTTTACACACTTTTCTCCCTTACCTACTGATTTTGCCTAGGTCCAGGCACCCTGAACAGAATCCTTTTCCACTACAGCAGGAGTAAGAATGAAGGGACATTTCTGTTGATTCAAGATGCAAGAATATTAGGACAAGTTTTTAGGTAAAGAAGATTAGAAACTAGGAGGTTTTTTTTTTTCTTTCCTTTTTTTTTTCTCCCACGTAGCTTCCAGCTTCTTCACAAGAAGAAGGATGTCTCCTCTCTTCATTTTAATATTTTGTCTACTGCTTTGCAGACACCTCCCCATGACCTTGATGATGTTTTTCTATAGCAAAAACTAGTTTTTGTTAAACATAATTTTTCATACCTTTCCTAAGTAAGCTTTTCTGGAAGAAATGTGAAGAAACAATGAGAGACTGTAGAATATTAAAGGAAAATAAAATATGCCAAGTTTACACATTAATCTACATAAACTTTTCTTCCAACTTGTGAAGTAAAGTGATTTTGTTTGACGCAGAGAAGGTGGAGTCTGTAATGATAATTTCTTTAATGGGATTTGCAGACAGTTGGGGTGGGAGGTGTGTCCTCCTCTATACTACCTTCCCAGAGTGCAGTGTCTTTTAGGGCACGTTCCCACATGTTCACTCACCTAAAAGGTGTTTTGCCTGACTTGTTCAGCTGTCTATTTCAAAATTGCTTAGATGTTGCTTTCCAGAGGAATTCAGAGATACATAAGGAGGATGATTACTTCTAAATTCTAGACTTCAGAAATGAAATACTAGAAGCCTAGGACATTGGTGCTGTATGAATTCTTCAGTGCTGTATAGGGTCTTTGTGAGTGGTAAGGCTGCTGGCAAGCTACTTCTAAATCAGACACACCTTTGGGTTGGGCTATTTTGGAAACTAAGTACTTGATGAGGTTCAAGGTATGGTCTGCTAGGGACAAGTGATTTTATTTTGTGTTTTTACATGTACTTTGATCAGCTGATGCAGCTGACGGACAGTCTCCTCTGTAAGTAACAGAGTGGGGGCGGAGGAGTGGTGACCTGTAGTGAGCCTTCCCTGACTTTTTTCAAAGTGGGGATTGCTGGCTTTCAGGCAGCTAGGCAAAAGAGAAAAAGGGACGTGCTATGGGGGTACCTTTATTTGGGGACAGCAAGCCCTTCTATTTCCGGATCTGGAATGGACTAAGTCAGAAGTTACAAGGCAAAAAATCCTGGGATAAACATCTGGATGAAATCTACTTACTCCAGCAGAAAAGGTACACTGCATTTCAGCCTTCTTGTCTTCCTTTTCTTCTTCTGCTCTCTCCCTGTAGCTGATTCTCACTCTTTTCCCTTAGGCTTTTCTGCCAGTAGATAAACTTTAAACAACCCTGGAGCACTTTTCTCTATCAGATTTCTTCTTTCAAGGTGGAATGCTTCTGGAGTTCCAATCTTATCTGCTTTCACAGGTGGGTTTACTAGGTCGCAATTGAATTACCCTGAGTGCAGGACTTCAGTCACAAATTAATAATGTATACTCTTGTCTTTCCTGCTTCATTGGTAAAGTTCACAAGAAAATGCATCAGGGTTTGTTCGGGTTTTTTAATTATTATTAAGAGTGTGTGTGATGTATATGCTGCAGTCAGCTGAAATGATGGCTTTTTTGCAAGGATTCTGGTTTCTGTCTCTCTAAAGGTTGCCCTTACTGTGGGATAGAGTGGACTTAATGTTGTTCCACATTCTGGTGGTCAGTCACTTCCTGGGTCAGACTGCTGTTTGTCACCCCCATGGCCCAGGTGTCAACATGTACAGTGACTCCTCTTAGACCTTACATTATCAAGAAGATTGCCTGTGTCTTCATATGTAAATACTGAATCAAGGCTGTTTGTTACTGCTGTGCAGGGCTGCTCCCTCCACACACAAGAATGCAGGAGTATTCATGGAAATCCAGCTGAATCTGTTTTTCATTGTTCCTTGTCATTTCTGAATGCACAAACCCTGCAGTACTCAAATAACAAATTGCTTCCAGTCCCTTGTAAAATTTGTTTTTTTCTTTCCTCACAAAGCTCTGAAAAACTCTGGGGACAAAAAGGTGGCTGTGTGGGACAATATCTATCTATCTGTACATATGTATGTATGTATACAAACATATATGTATAGAAATAAGTAGGATAGTACCTTCAGAGAGACAAATGTACATATCTGTCTTAATGGAAAGAATTACATATATCATAATCTAACTTCTGACCAAATAACAAAAGTCTGTTCTATTTTACTTCAGAGCAGTGGGACTTAAATACACTTAAAATGGGAGGGACAGTGGGAACAATAGTGTCTCCATAGAATACTGAAATGTTTATATTTTGGTGTGGTCATGAAAAGCATCACAGGTAACTGAAAGGTAAGTTCTCAGCAGATTCTGTAATATCCAAATGAATGTGTGCAAAATAAAAGTCTAAATAGATTAATATTTTTATAATTATAACATTATCTTCACATTTTTAAGTCATAGAGATGTGGAAGGGACCTCTGAAGGTCTCTGTCTAACCTCCCGCTTGAAGCTGGACTATTGCCAGCAATAGATCACATTGGTTTGGCTTTGTCTAGCTCAGTCTTGAAAGCCTCCCAGGACAAAGATTCCACCGTATCTTTAGGTACCTGTTACAGCATTGTAGTAACCTCTTGGTGAAAACGGGTTTTTTCCTAATGTTCAACCTGAACCTCCAAAATCATAATTTGATGCTGTAGCCCCTTGTTTTACCATCTGCTATTACGAAGGAGGGCTTGGCCCCTTTCTTTTTGTTGCTCCCTTTCACATAGGCTGCTATTAGATTGCCATTCAACCTTCTCTCTACTTGACAATCCTTATTAGTCATGTGCTGCAGGGCCATGAACATCTTGTGTGCTGCTACTGATAGAGGAAAACAGAAAAACTGTTAGGCATATAAAGCCTTCTTCATAAACTTCTCTTAGATCACAACAGTGCAACCCCAGCAGTCACTAAAACTAATATTTCTGTGTTTCTTTATAAAACTCTGCATAACAACACATGTAGTACATATGATATCATTGTCCGTGAAATCAGAGTTGCATGGGGACACAATTGTTCCCTTCCATTTTAGGTCTATATGTTTCCCACAGCTTTCAACTAACATAAATTAGCCCTCTGCTATTTGGTCGGAATTTACATGGTGCCAATATGTGGATACTCTTTTACTAAAGAGGGACAGGACCATTTCTCCCTCTTATTGTCCTACTCTTTTATTTCCTTTCTTGTCCCCAGAGATGCTCAGGGTTTGAGGAGAAAGAAAATGAATATTTTGCAGAGGACTGGAATCAGTTTTATTGCTTTCATATTCTTAATTATGTACAGATAGAAAAACACAACAGGAAAACCTTCTGTGTTGACTTGTGTATGGGAACTACTCTTGTAAAACCTTTGCTTTTGTGGAAAAACTGTTGTAAGCCAAGAGGGCTTTTACTTCATCCTGTCATTTTGTTGTGTGGAATTGCAGTGTTGTGGCTTCAGCTTGAGTTCTTCTCAGTGTTAATGGTGCTGGAATACATACAGTAATAAGCAGCAATTAAATTCTACTATTATCTTATTGAAAGCCAGTGTTAAATATGTTACTATTTAACTAGTATGCTCTGACTGCACACAGAAAGCCTGCAAGAGAAGAACAATGCTTTTTCCCATCCTACAACTGGTGATGATAATACCTGAAAGCTAACTGTTTTGGTAGTTCTCACCTTCACTGGAATTGCTGTTCATTCTCTTTCTTCATGTATAATAGTTCTTTGAATCTTATTAGCATTATTGGATTTCTTTGGTTTAATCCTGCACTGTATAACATTTCCCAAAGGGACATCCAAGTTCAGGAGATGTGATACAATCTCCTAATATTAAAGAGGACTTTGAGTTTATTTTGCCTTACTCTGCTGGTTTCTTTCTGTTCAAGACTCTCCTTTTTAAACAGCCTGTAGCTCAGTGTGGAGTCCCAGGGACAGTGGTCACATCTCATATGTCCTTTCTAGAATTATCTTTGGAAGTAAACTCTGGGATCTACATAGTTTAGAGCATATGAACATAAAATCCCAACATAGTTCATAATCATGAGGAACAAAGAGATAAATACTTATGAAAATTCAGGCCTGATAGAGGTGAAAAGGAATCACGTGACTGTCACAGTCTAATGGATCTTCCAGAAATTACGAGAGTCATTGCTTGATTTATTTTTTTTAGTCTGGCTTTCAGTGTAAGAGGTTCTAAGAAAATGTGAACAAAATCTCTCTAGCATGTAATTTTAGAAATTCCACCATATGAGAATCGCACTGTTCATAAAAAATAACTAATAAATAAATTAGAGCAAGTGAGTACACGGATCAAGGACAATTATATTATATTTTTCTTCCTGCTATTGCCTGCCTCTATAACTTGGATTGATAAATAATCTATCTTCTGTGTGTCTCCTCTCTCACAGCTGCTGCTTAGGGTTTAGTGGTATCATCTGGCCTTCGTGGGATGCTCTGAGGCTTAATTATTCTAATGACAATAAAACATTTAACTTGTGTGGTACATTTAAAAAAAACCTCAAAAAACAGACCAAAGCATTTTTATACATTAATTAACTATAGAAACCTGTGCTATGAGAAATAATGCATTAGAAGTGCTTGGGACAGTTTGCACAACTTGCAGACAGCTATGGTCATTCCAAACATGTCACAATAAAAACTTTATATCCCCTTTGTTTCCATTTTTTTTTTGTGGCTCTTTAGTCTCACAGAGATATTAGCGAAGTGCTTTGCTTACCCTGAAAACAAACATAGCACAAATAAAAAGTATCTCAGCCTAATGCTATTAAACTGAGTTGCTTAAGAGTTGTACAGGGACACAGAGAGCCTTCAGATTCAAGACAAATCTTTCTCAAGCTGGTATTGAATGAGAGATGTCACCATAGTTTTGCTGTTCATTTGTCTAAACAACATTACTGAGTTTTCAGTGCACAAATGAACGTAGGACTGTCCTGTCTTAAAATCCACAATACCTGTCAGTATTAATTGGTTCCTTTGCTCCCAAAGGTGACAGTGAAATAAAGATGCCAGCTCCCAGTTCCACCACTTCATTTGTAATATGTTTCAATAACAGTGCTTCTGAGTAGTCAAGATGCAAAGAACAGCCTGTTGGAAACTCTGCTGCTGCATGTAAAATAAAGTCAAAGGCATCACTGGCAGTGTTTTTGGTCTTTTCTTATGCTGTTACACCTTCATCCTAATAGAAGTTTTGAGTCTAATAATGGAAAACAAGCCTCCTTAATTTCACAAGTGTAAAGGTCCTCCAGAACTCACATTTCCCCAACAAAGCACAGACATACACACATCTGACCTCAATGCCTAAGACGTGGCTTAGGCTCATAGATTTAGGAAGCTATTTCCCTTCTTAAATGTGGCTATAGATTTCCTTGTGAAAAAGTAAACATGAAATTTGTGCTCTGAAAAAAACCCACCCCAAATTAAAAAGTTGTTAGAGAAAACTATTAGGCACAGGGTGAGGAACACAACCTAGAATAAAACTGCAAGAAAATCCCTACTGAAGAGGGTTGAAAGTTTTGATGCAGGATGAGGTTATACTTCAAAGAACAAGTTTGTTTTATAACTCAGTGATAATAAATAATAACTAACAGCTGCTGAGCTGTTAATCCAGTTCTAGCATGAGATTATTGGTAGGATGGTCTCAGATGCAGAATTAAAAAAAAAGGAGATTAATGCAATGAGATTGCCCTGCTGGAAGTGACTGAGCAAGATTTCTATTGCTTACTGTGGCAGATAGCTAGCTAAATATCTGAAAGCTTAAGACTTCCCTATCGGTTTCTTGTCTAGTAACATTGGCAATTAGTAACCTGTTTAATTTATTTCCAGAGAAGCTCTGTTTACTGTCAGCTGAAGGGGCTTCAACATACATGCACAAGAGGTTCCAGTTAATTTGCTGAGTCTTGCTGTCGGTGCTGAAGAAATTTGCTGACCCTGTCCCTGCGTTGATTGTCCAAGCCCCTGTTATCTGTCTCCTTTTCACTTCATGCTATTACTTCCTAACTCATTCTTTAGCATCTTGTTAGATGATTGCATTGATCCTTTTTCTGGCTGGTTAGCTTCCTCTGAGCACTTCTCTGTTCTCCTGAAGTCTTGCACACATTTACATAAACATACTAGTAGAAGGAAGGGAGAAGACGAATCTCCTTTGGCAATTTCATGATGGAGTGTTAAGCATGGATATTCTGAGCAGCACAACAGGGAAAGAAAAGAAAGCTGAAATAATATCCTGCTGATTAATTTATAGCTTAGTTAGAAAGAAGTGCTTTAGACCCTTAGTAATGGACATATTTTAAAAGAATAACCTTATAAATCCAAATTCTTCTTTTTATAACAGAGTTAAGACTTATGGACTTGTTCTTGCATTCTTTATCTCTTCATAAGTGTAATGAGCAGGATGCAGTCCAAAAGAAGTGCTTAAGAAGCTGTAAATCCAAAAGGGTACATATTACCAGCAGAAAGTGCTTGTGAAATCTTTCACCTTGTTTAGAACTATTTTACATGACTCCCTCTGTCAGAATCTGACCTACATTCTATATTCTCTTTGTTTCACAATGGATTTTCAGGTGTTCCTGGTTTTGTCCTCACCTATATTGAAAAACAACTCACAGCTTCCTGAGCATATCATTGAATCACCTGTTAAGAAAACTGACTGATAGTAATGCATGATCAAGACTTACTAAGTGCCTCAACACAGCTACATTCCTTAGCTCAGTAAGAAGAACCCAGGAGCACTTCCAGGAGGATACTGTTGTAGTTTTCATTGCCCATCAGAACTCCTGGTTAGCTATGTAGCTGTGCTTATCCTAAACTGATCCTATAAGGCAACATCAGTACTGCCTAGTGTTACAGACCTAGCTTAGCTGGCTAAATTAGGAGCTTAGTGTCCCTTGACTCCATAGCTGATGAAGAGAATGATTTAGAACAGGAGCGTAACTTAGATGTGCTGAATTATCTTCTCAGAGTGTCTAAATAGGTCTCTGCTGAATCATTCTCTGAAAGCCACCCTCTCCATCCAGTGACATAATGGTACTTTACGGAAACTAAGCATCTACTGTAGGCAGCTCTGTTAAGAGACTAAGTTACAGATTTTATTTGCTGCTGCTTTGACACACAGGAACTAGAGTTGTAAAATGTAAAAATCATGCTGTGTTTGATGGGTCAGGAATAAAATTGGTTAAATATGCAGAACTTAAAGAAATTAAAATGTTTTGAAGGTTCTAGATTCAGGGTGACTTTGTTTTATTTTTGTATTAGTGAATTTGGCTCACCTAGTACGTGACATTTATATGCTCAGCACATTGCTATAATGTATTAAAAATGAGTCAATAATTATAATGGTATGTTTTAAATGAAAGTAAAATGTTTCCCCAATTATGGGACAGAAAATTAAATGAGAGTAAAAGCATATGGTATAAACATGTAAGTCATGGACCTCTGAGGCATCAGAGGCAGTGTGCAAAGACATTTACCAACGCTTCTGGGTTCTTCACGAGTTTGCTGTTTGGCCTGGGATCTCTGTTTTTTTAAGCCCAGTTAGAGGTTCCTACAATAAATAGAAAGGTTTGACAATTTTGCTCTAAATTTCTGAAAGCTCAGTATAGTAGTTATTAGGTGTAATTTAATTAGCTGTTTACAAGGGCTTTGGGGAATTTTGTGAGAAAGGTATTGTGTTTGTGTCCTCCCACATTGTGTCTTGCCCAATCCTTCCTCCTCTCTGAGGTCATTTGAGGGATAAAGGCCTACCCAGTAAAGCATCAACATATTAATTGTAGCATTGTTTATACTATTGAAACCCCACCTCCTTCCCACTTCCTGCCTCTGAAACTTACATTCTCCAGGAACACAGAGGCTTTCTCAGCCAAAATAATGGCAGAGGTGGCAAGCTTGCTTCACTGATATTGAATCTTACAACTTTTGCTCAGAATGCCCCTTTATTTTGTTCTTATTTGTCTGATCCTAGATGCAATGTTCGCATCAAATCATCTTGTAATTAGCCACTAACGCAACTGATGCATGAGTAAGTGAAAGAAGGAATACTTCTCAAAGCAGCAAGGCTAAGAGTTTGAAGGACATATAAAAATATCTCAGAGCGGCTCCCTGGTTTGTTCAGGATGGTTCTTTATATTCTGAATGCTTTTATTTCTCCTCTGTTCTTCAGCGTTTTTCTAGTCCTGTTTATAGTGACTTAGATAATGGGGTGCTGTTGGTGACAGGAAATGCTCCTTTTATGGAATGATAAAGATAATGTTCAGTTATGCTTTTGTTACTTGTAGCCTATGCCCATTAATTTACACTTATTCAAATGATTCCTGTTTATCTGTGTAATTCTGATACTTATCTTTGTTTTGCTTTATCCCCCAAGTTCTCTCAAGTGTGTCAGTATCTTACTGCTATAAAGGTATGCAGAACTTGCATGTTTCAGGTGGATTAAATCCAGAGATAATGGCATATCAAATAATTTTTTTTTGCTTCAAGATTCTACTGTTCATAAAAGAATAATTTAAAGCAAGAAATATATATTTCTGTAAGCCACAGAATTTTTGTTGCCTGTTTTCCTATGGTTTTATTATTAAATTATCCTATACCTAAGAAGCACAAGTTCTGAGAAAACATTCTGTGCAATGAGCCACTTATACTCTCTCTCTTTCTCTGATGTGGGTTTTCTTGTGGCTTATATTTTAATAGTGTTTTATTCATAGATAATGTATTCTAACATCAGCGTTATCACTTAATGTAAAACACCTATTGCTTTATATAGTATTTGCCCTATAAACTGTATCCCCAAAATCTTGTAACTAAATAATACCAGAATACAAGGAAGAAATCTGGGACATCACAAGGAGAAAGCATTGAATGTATCTCCAGCTATGTGGTTTGACTGATGTATTTGTCCCACAAGCTTTTTTTTTGTGTGTGTGTGTGTGAGACTAACATCCAGTCTATTGGCAGTTGTTAGATTGTAGTAAAAGGAGAGACTGGGGCTGATGAGAAAATGAGGGCTGACATTCTCCTTGTTCATATCAGCTTGAACTTGTCATTGTTCTACTGTGTTCCTTAGACTTATTCCACATCATATTACAGCTTGACCTGAGCCATGCTAGATAATTAAGAACAAATTAAACATCTGTACTACTACTACAAGAAAGCAAAGGTGAGACAAAAGCACGAAATTTGCATCTGAACAGAGATCTGAAACTGAACTTAACCTATTTGGAGATAAGGAGAGAGGAATCTCTTTCTGTTTCATATTGAAAATTCATGAGACATAGGCTGTTTCTTTGGGTTTGAGGGTCTTCCTTCCCCTTAAATCTTTAGCTCCTGAACCTGGAATACTTAGAATTCTTTATTTGAATAAAAACAAAAATCAAAAACCCCACCCCAAAACACTTTTTATGAATTAAAAGATAAATCTGAAAATATTCAAGGAAAACAGAAATATTTACCCCAAATTAGTAGATTTTGTTATATTTTTTGTGATTTTTGGGTGGCCAACTCATTATTTTGAACATTGGCAAAGCTTATTTGGATGCTGAGCAAGCAGGCATTGCAGGTAAGTCTTTGCACCCTCCCTTCAGGTACTTATACACATTGGTAAGAACCCCCACCCAAGCCTTCTCTTCTCCAGGCTAAACAGTTCCAGCTCTCTCAGCCTTTCCTCATATGAGAGATGCTCCAGTCCCATAATCATCTTTGTGGCCCTTTGCTGAACTCTCTCCAGTAGCTGCATATGTCTTTTGTACTCAGGATCCTAGAACTGGACACAGGACTCTAGGTATGGCCTTACCAGAGCTGAGTAGAGGGGAAAGATCACCTCCCTTGACCTGCTGTTTGCATCAAAGGACCTTGCTGTAATGAAGTTTCATGACTGTACTTGTAAATTCTTCATCAGCCCCAAAGGATCGACTGAAATAACCCAGAGCTGCATGGAAGACCCAAGGGCATTCTTCAACTATAAGTGAACCATTCAGTCTGGAACTTGTTTGATGGCATGCTCTTTCCCAGGACAGGCATACATTTCAGGTTCTTAACAATTTCCTCAATTTTCTCAGCATCAGAGAAAAAAATGGTATAGCTAAGCTTTCAGATTTTTCCTCATAACTTTGTATGATGAGGAACTACATTTCAGAGCTCATTCTAATTGTACCATAGGAAGCATTGGTATGACACAGGGGGAATTCTTGTTTGTACATTTTCTTTTCCATCCATTATGGGAGTAATTCAGATGCTGATCCTTTTCTAATTTATTGTGCTGTGTAAAAAAACTACTGGCTTTTTCTGGCTCCTGAGATAACTAGTCTACTGGCAGGAGGGGCATCAAATGACCCATCGTTCACTATCTTCTGTGCTTCAAAATGTGGGCTGTATAAACCAGAAAAATTTTGAAGTTGGCTATTCATTTCTTCTATCTTTCCCTCTGCTGCCATCATATGGTTAAGCGTCAGTAAGTCAAGCATTGATGAACTACCTGGGTTTTTAGCACTGCATTTATCTGCTTTTGCCGGTTCTTTTTTTTTTGCATTCAAAAAATACCTCAGATGGTAGGTGTGCGTTACCAATCTTTCAGTGAAAATCTGGAAGATACATACTGTCTCAAGCAAAGGCCATGCTAGCTCTGGAGAGAGGCACCATGTGTTTGACTGTGTTTCTTATTCGCCACTTTTTCTTGACTACAGGATCTGGGAATCCCCACTCCTCCAGGCTGCCAAAGAGAACAACCTCCCAGCCATTAGGAAACTTCTCACTGATGGAACATGTGATTTCTATCAGAGAGGTAACTCAATTATTTGCGACAAGTGGTTTTCTGTGGAAGGCAAGAGCCTGCTACAGCGAGTAGAGTAGTATGTTTGTTAGTTTGCTAAAACATTTGCATTAGCAGACTCAAACTACTTAACTGTATGTCAGCAGCTTTGCAACAAAGTGAGTTTTCTAACTTGGCGAGCTCATCAAACCCTAAAGGGATGGTGAAGATCAGAGGTTTACAGCTTGAATGGGCCTTTTTTCTAAAGGGACCGAGGGAGGTGGTTTACTGTGGAAGGTGGTCAGTGGAAGGGCTGTGTGCTCATTCACTTCACCTTGAAGTCTGCTGTCACAAACACTTGAAGCCTCTGTTCAGCTTTCAGATTTTGATGGGGTATGGGACAGAGTCTGTGCAGTTATGTGGCTGTTACCATGTCATATGATGAGGTGGCACCTGGCAGTACTCAAGGGAGGACCTCCCATAATCCTCCACCCCAATAAATTAATTTCTGCTTTTGTCCCGTATAGTTGAATGTCTAGATGGCTCACATGCTTCTCCTACTGTTTTTAGGTGCAGTGGGGGAGACCGCCCTTCATGTAGCTGCCTTGTATGATAATGTAGAGGCTGCAGTGACTCTGATGGAAGCAGCTCCTGAGCTTGTCAATGAGAGGATGACATCAGAGCTCTATGAAGGTAACATCTCAGGGAATGAGGATGGGCAGGATTGTCTGCAGGGGGAGGGAGGAAGTAGTACCTGTACATTTAGGAAAGTGACTTATACTGTTCCTGGTTCAATATATTCCTAAACTGTTACATAGCAAAGCCAACATACAAATGGCTCCTGACCATTTGTGGAAGGCAGAATTATATTAAACCCAAGTACATACATGTGCAAACATGCAAATGCATAATTGACAAACCTTTAACCACAGGTGGGCCTGTTGGTTATAGTGGGATTGCAAGGATATGTACAGTTTGCTTTCTGCCATAGTCATGTGTAACAAAGGGGACACCTACCTGATCTCTGAAAGGAGAAAAAATGGTTCTTTGGTTGACAAAGAATAGGGATTGAAAGAAAATGTGGCCCCTGCTTTTGATTCTAGACTCTGAGCCAGGTTTTTAAAGAATGGTTGTGATTGACTACACAGAAAGGCCAGACAGAATCCTGAAACCACTAAAATAATAATGATGGCGGCTTAAAAATCCTAATACTTAGTTTGATGGTTTAGAGCAAGTCTTCTTTGGGAGCTTTTTCTTGACCTGGCATTCATGTCCCATGAAGGAAAGCACAGACCTTTCTGAGACACATGAGCTTTCAGTGTGCTTCCTGGAAGAGTGTGGCATGTCTTGTTTTCCCCCAGAAAAAGTCTAGAAAGTGCATCCTGTTGGGGTTTTTTTTGGCAGGTTGTAAAGTCAGCTTCCATTAATTTGTAAAAGGTTTAAATAGAGTGAGACCTCTGGAAAATCTGTAGTCCAACTTTCTGCACACAACAGGGATAACTTCAAAGCTAAATCATATAGCCACTATGGATGCAGTTCCAAAAAACTTAGATTTACCATGAGTGAAATGTGAACTGCAGACTATTGATCAGCCTGAAGTTGCTTTCTTGGAAGGCAAGGTTTTATTTCTGTGTCTTACAGGGCAGACGGCTCTCCACATTGCAGCAGTGAACCAGAACATCACTTTGGTGAAGGCTTTACTCAAGAGAGGGGCCAATGCCTGCACAGCACGGGCCACTGGACATTTCTTCAGGCGCAGCTCCCAGAATCTTCTCTATTTCGGTACAGTCTTATCTTCTCGCCTTGCTGCTATGGGAGGGAACCAGCAGAGTGATGAGGGAATATAAGGGAGGCTTGCTTTAGTCCCCATCTAAAGTGGATAAGCAGAGGCTCCTGTCTCCAAATGTCATCAGTCACACACCTTTTAGCAGACAGTAAGACTCCATCTGAGTATGTAAATACTACATAAATACAAATATATAAATCGTACACATTTTATATATTTGCATATATACAAAAATATATATTGCATAAGAATTATAATTTAATTTCTTCCCAGCGACATATACTGCAACTTTCTTGTCAACCTTCTTATGAAGATAATCTGAAAAGAATTCTTCTTCCTTTTAGTGTTGTGTGGGGCAGGTCTTCTTTTCCTTTCTGGGTAGGATGAGGAGTGGGGCAGGAAATTTACAGGCTACCTGAAGTAACCCTTTCATAACCTCTGGCTTCATAGCATGGATAGCTTTCCCTCAGTATGCTTCAACTTCTCCTGCCTCCTGGGGTCTTAATGTTGTTTCTCCCCATTCCTTTCTTTGCAGGAGAGCATGTTTTATCATTTGCTGCCTGTGTGGGAAATGAGGAAATTGTACAGTTGCTCATTGAAAATGGAGCTGACATTAGAGCTCAAGATTATCTGGGTATGTGCTGTGGGGCCTAGTGAATTGCACACAGTAGATGTGGACACTTGAAATAAGACTCTGTCATCTGTGCATGCACATATTTTTCTCTCATTACAAACAGCTGTGGGATGAGGGATGTGAAGAAAATGAAAACTACCGTTAACGGCATCAGTCAATTGCCAGTCTTTGCACGGGGCTGGGCTATTCCATATACCTTATCTGGTCTGCTTCCTTCATAGGTAACACTGTTCTTCACATCCTGGTTCTCCAACCTAATAAGACATTTGCCTGCCACATGTACAGCCTGATACTTTCCTATGACAGGAAAAAAGAGGGACCAGGATCACTTGAATTGATTCCTAACAATGAGGGGCTTACTCCATTCAAACTGGCTGGAGTTGAGGGCAACACTGTGGTGAGTTTAAGTGACACAGTTGCCTCCATACAAAAGAGATTATTCAGAAACTGAGAACTTGAAATAACATCATCCAGACCAAGCGAGTTTGTGCATGTTCTTAGTGGGTAGAAGATACATAACAAGTCCTTCTTTTATTTTGCCAGAAGTCTCATGTAGGACCAGAAAACCTGTATAAGAAGTTTCTTTATCCTAATGAAAGAAATGAGTACTTAAAGAATAGATCTTTTGACCCAATTTTTGAAGCATTTGAGTTAAACAGGTATTAACAGAAAGATCCACTCCAAGTAATTTTTTAAAAACTCTGACTGAAATTATTGTTTTTGTTGTCTAAATTTCATTACCCTAAATGTGACACACAGGAAACTTCTTAAGGTATCCACAGACATTTGTTCATAGTCAAGAATTCAATATTTAATGTAAATGCTCATCCTTCCCCTTAACAAAAAGACAAAGACGGTTAGTGTTTCTTCTGTAGATCCACAAAGGACAGGATCATTTCTCTTGCCACACCTCTTTCCTGATAACTTGTAGAAGAGTATAAAAGAATTTTTTTTCTAATCAACATATAATTCCGTATGAGATTGTCAAGATGTATAACTGTGTCAAAAAACTTTAGCAGTTTGATTAGAATTTAGAATAGAAATCACTCATCCTTTACCTCAAGCATGAGCTAATTAATCAAATGGGAGTCGGAAAAAATTCTTCCACTTCTTAACCTGCTATAATTGTTCCTGAGAGATAGGAGAACCACAGCTACAAAGTTCAGGGAAAATACATTGTAATTAAGGGGGTTTAACAACTTTATTTGTTTCCATTGCAAATACAATATATACTAGAAAGCTTCTGATATCCTCCAACCCCTTCTTTTCTCCTCAGATGTTTCAATACCTTATGCAGAAGCGGAAGCACAATCTCTGGTCCTTTGGTCCCTTGACCACTGTGCTCTATGATCTCACAGAGATTGACTCCTGGGCAGAAGATCAGTCCTTCCTTGAGCTCATTGTCTCAACCAAGAAGAGAGAGGTACTGTGGGCACCACATGCTTTCTATGTGCAGACCATGGTGATTATAAAAGGAGAAGAATGATGAGTTTGAAGGTTCAAGCTCTTTGATATTATCCATAGAGCAAGGACTTTGTACCATGTGCTGCAGGGAATACATGAAATGTAGCAGCTTTTTAATGATCTGGCTACATCTGATGCTTTACACACAGTTTCTTCTGAGGTATGAAACTTGCAGATGATTGAAAGAACTTTGTATGAGCAAGCTACAGGAAATGACATTGTGTGATTCAGCAAAGGGTTCTCTCTCTTTCACCAGGCTCAAAGATATCAGTAACAAGTATCTCTAGAGTAGCTCTAGCAAGTAGCTTTCTATAACTGTGATACTGATTAATTCTCACAATGTCCCTGTGAGACATGACTGTTCAGAAATCCTAAACTGGAATGCATTTTAAAAGCACTCATTATTGTTCTTCCTTTCATTTAATGACATTGCTTGTCCAGGTTATGACTTAAAATAAAGTAGGTGAATTATCTCTGCTGTAGGCTCAAAAACTTGCAAAGGGATCACTAAGATAAAAATAGCAGAGTGTAATGGCAAGCTTAGACAGATCTGCTTAAGACTTTCAAGGTACACTACCCTATCAGTTGTAATCGCCTGGACAGGAAATGCATCAGAAGACAGTTTAATTAGCACAATTCTACCCATCCTGTATTATTTCCATCTATCAAAATTTTAGTCAAACTTATCTAACAAAAGTTTCAGCTACTGGAGAGCTTTGCACAATGTGGAGGAAGTCTATGAAACTCTCATTTGCTTTTATTTAAAATCCTCTAAATTTCTATGTGTGGTGATACGTATGGAAATTCAGGGGAAAGAAGTCTATGTCAAAAAAATAGAACAACCTTAGAAGTTGCCCGGAAGACTAAACCATAATCCTAAAAGAAAGAAGAATATTGTGCCTCTGTCTTATCCCAAAACATACAGTGCATGCACATCCAAGATTCCTAATTTCAGAGGATAAGATGTCCCCAAATACCATGAGATAATATGATTTATTTTCCAGAATGCTCTTAAATATGAGTAATTGCAATTTTTGCATGCATAAATAGTAATTATTTTTTATAGCTGATATATGTTTGGTCCAAAAAGTTTGCTGTCTCCTCTAGAAAAATGCAATGTGTCACCCCATCCTATCATACCCTCCCAGTCCAGTATTGGACTAGAGTAGCATCTTTAGGCCCCAATCAGAAGCAGGTTCCTCTTGTATTAAGGGGGATGCATACACAAATAGGTACTAAGATGTATTTTCTGACCCTTAAGTGGATGAAAAGTGGCAAAAATAGAAGGGAACTAAGCTACAGGAAGATTATAGTAAGCTTCTGAACTTATATCATCCTTTTGAAAATGAAATTTACTCTCCTATGCAAAGAATTCTAGAATACTGACTTCTACACAAAACAGAACACCTAAGGCTATCTAGCTAGGTTCATTATCTTTCACTTTTGATCGTTTAGGATATTTCTTAGGCCATTCAAGAGTCATGTCCATTTACTGAAACATACATATTCCTTGCACTTTGCACAATCTGTCTTTGGCTGACTTAGAGGAAACAGGGCAATGTAGCAAAAGAAGGAAAACATCTAGAGTGCAATAAGAAGTTTTCCTTTAAAGTAACCCACTCATGCCACTTTGACTTACATCTCCTTCTCGCTTATTGCAGTGGTCCCCTAAACATTACAATAGGAAGTAGGTCTAGAAGCATTTAATAAAGTGTGTGGGTCAAATTCATAAGCAAGGTGTAAAGTACACCCTGTTTGTCCTACGTATGCTCTAAGCATCAGTCTTCTAAGCAGAAGCTGAAGGCTTGATATAGATGATTCAATTAATTATCACTGAGATGATAATGCAGAAACTTAAAATATAATATTTTTACATAATCCATAGAGCTTTAGACAAGTATTAATCTCATTTGGAAAAATGTTCCAATTTTCTTATCCCAAATCATCTGATACAAAAGACATGTATTGCTGTACTAACAGGAATATTCTGTCATCCTCAGTTCTACGTTCCCACACACAACAAAAACATTTCAAAAGTTTATCAGCTAATTTTTAGTTGTTAGTCTTTTGTTTTACCCTCCAGATGCCATCAGAACTGAGGGTAATTTCCAATCAATTATACATATGCCTTTGTTTCCCTTTTACTGAAAAGGCCTTGTTGACATTTTGGTGCTCGGTTGGCAACCTCAGAAAAGATTCTTGGAAAAGTAGCTTATTGCTCATGTGAACCCTGCATATGTTCTGTGAGAATGGTCAAATAAATTCTTCTCTTTTTTATAGGTAGAGAAACTGCAAATGAAATAACACTGACTGTCTTAAAGTAGCTGAATCCAACTGCTTTTGACTATCTCTGGAGTAGACTGAGCCCCTTGACCTACAAAGCAAACTTTGATCCTTCATAAACATACCAGCCATAGTCCTGTTTCTAGACTTTGAGTATTTACATATTCTACTTACATCAATAGAAATTACACTTCCACATAGGGAAGACAGACAAAGGACTACAGGCTCACTCTTCAACTGTAGGAAACCATTACAATTATAGCTTCAGTTCAGCTATACTGATTTGTTCCAGATTGGGAATGGACCCTAAACAGTTATAATGAGATGACAGAAAAACACAAAAAGACTCCATGCTGATTTTCTGGGCTTGCAGGCGCTAATAAACAAAATATCTTTGTTTTACTTTCACTTTAAAAGAATATGGCTTATAACTGAATGAAAAAGAAAATTTTGTTTTGAAAATGCTTCAAGGTGAACCATTGGATTCCGAAGTAGAGATCTAGCTCTTCAACTACTGCAGTTCTTGGAGGCCATGATAAACTGAGTCAGTATCATCCATCTACTTTGAAAATAACATTTGTTACTTCTGTAGGACATACTTCCTTGCAGTGGGACTCTATGTAGTTTATGACCACTGGGGAATCACAGGCCATTTTTTTCAAAAGAACTCCGTATGAAAGACCCTAATATTCTCTCTTCCATTTTATTCATATCAACATAGTGTTCTTGTCACTACAGTGTTGAATACCTCACAATAGTGCATTACATACTAAAATCAACATCTTTCCCATGTGGTTCATTCTTTCTTCACAGACTAGGTTACTAAGCAGAGTGTCTAGTTTTGGGTGGGCTTGAGAGTGATTGCTTTTTTGCACACAATATTGTGTGTTCATATTGGACAAATTAAGCTAAAGAAGTGCACTTGGCCTAGATTAATCCCATCTAATTTTTGTCACCAACTGAGGTGTTTAATTAAGGAATACAGATTCCCTAAGTTTTACATGTGTTTGATAGAGAAATGCAAGTAACTAAGTATCTCCAAAGAGCGATTTAGACCTCAGGTGAGCTGAATGGCAGTCTGTAGGACACTATTGCCTACAAGGAGAGAAATCTTAGGATAAACACATCACTAATGAAGATACCTCCTTTAGATGCCTAAAGTTACGTGATGGGGTTACTTGTAGTAGTGATACTCTAAGGACAATGATGAGGCAAAGTTTGTAGGAAGAAGTAATGACATTTATTAGACAGTTCATGTAGCCACAATTTCATCTTGTCCTAGGAAAACAGTTAAAAAGAGTGGAGTGTCATTGATCTTTCCAAGCTTTATAGTTGTCATCCCAGCAGCAAATCAATAGATTCACTCAGTGGCATAGATTAGCAATGTTCAACAGAGGAAGAGATGTTGAATTTTTTTTTTCCATATCAGCTCACTATATTTTCTTTGTCCTTTATATGCATGTGTGCAAATCAACCAGATCAACCATGAGGGCACTTAAGAAAATTTCTGGATTCTTCCTGTTAGTTTTTGGAATGGAATTGTATGATAGGAGAGGATTCTTCCCTCCAGTGCTCATAACTCCACTGCTCTTACTTTTTATAGAGCCTCTTTGTCACTTCTAAAACTATGGTCTCAATTTTTTTTTTGATTAATCTTTCTTTTTGTATAGAATTCCTCAGCTACACAGTATGTATGGATATATGCAGATCTTTGACAGAAACACAATCCCAACTTATGCAGCATCACTGTTTTTCATATCATGCAAGATGCTCACTGAAGCTTCTTTTTATTCCTGGGAATGTATGTGGTCTTCTACATATATTTGAGCTGCACCACTGACATTCTAAAAAGAAGCACCCAAACTTTGAATATAGTATAAACAATCTAAAGGAAGTAAGTTGAAAGAGCCTGTTTTTTTTCACACTATATCTCACTGTGCGTATACTGCAGTTTTTATCATCATAGCTGAATGGTGAAAACTTTTGAAAATCCAGTCCATTAACAGGCTGCATTCATACAGAAGTAAAGGAACTTTGGAAATCTTTCCAAAGTTGTCTTAGTTGCCTGCTAAATCAAGGTAATATCAGTGTCAGTTTCCCAGAGAGCTAATGATTTAAAGGACCTTTTGATATGTTTCCTAGAGATTAAGTTTCCACAAATGCTACTGAAGTTGATAGAGATAGCTGTTGAAACCAATGTTATCTTACAAATATAAATGCAGAACTCCAATATGGAGAAAAAAAATCTAAGTGAATTTGTGGTTGTGCAACCTTGTGGTTGCACAGAAACTTTTTTCTGTAGCTGAAAATAGAATCCAAATTATCTTATTTTCAATTCTATGCTAATAATGAGATGTATATTTTGTGCAGAGGAGAGTATCTGTCTGCTGTAAAGTCCACTGTGCTGTCTTGCTTAACACAAAATATTCTTCAAAATTGATTCCAGTTACAGTAAAAGACAATTCATGAATTGAAGTAGTTTTGTACATATTTGAATCCCTAGAGTTCACAGGATTTATAAACTTTCTGATACTGTAAAGTTAGCCCACCCTTAATATGCATATATCTTAATAGAAAAAGAATAATTAATTAATTACTAATAATACCTTTTATTTTCTGTAACAAATCCTCATATATTTAGTGATTTTGTGGTTGTGCAACCTTGTGGTTGCACAGAAACTTTTTTCTGTAGCTGAAAATAGAATCCAAATTATCTTATTTTCAATTCTATGTTCTAATAATGATGTATATTTTGTGCAGAGGAGAGTATCTGTCTGCTGTAAAGTCCACTGTGCTGTCTTGCTTAACACAAAATATTCTTCAAAATTGATTCCAGTTACAGTAAAAGACAATTCATGAATTGAAGTAGTTTTGTACATATTTGAATCCCTAGAGTTCACAGGATTTATAAACTTTCTGATACTGTAAAGTTAGCCCACCCTTAATATGCATATATCTTAATAGAAAAAGAATAATTAATTAATTACTAATAATACCTTTTATTTTCTGTAACAAATCCTCATATATTTGCTTTCACGGACCTAGATCATAGGTATGTCTCAAGTGTTTATATGCATCCAGGCCTACACAGACAACAAACTTATTCCAGTATCAAACATGCTTCTCGCGCTTCCCACAGTACTTAAAAGCTGTTGCCTGCAGGATATATTTTTAACTTTTTTTTAAAGCTCTTTACTGGCAAACTGAGCAAATCCAAACCCACTTGAGCATTGTATTTTTGCAAAATAAATTCAGCTTCCTAATGCTGAATAGAGTAGGTGAGAATAGTTTGTTAACATTCTCCTAGGAAACAGTGTGAATGATGCTTATAAACAAATGTCCTTATGGCAATTAATTCCATCTTTCCCAGGCACGCCAGATCTTGGACCTAACACCTGTGAAGGAGCTGGTGAGCCTGAAGTGGAATATGTATGGTCGTCCCTATTTCTGTTTCCTGGCTTTATTCTATATACTCTACATGGTCTGCTTCACTATGTGCTGCGTCTACCGACCACTGAAACCCCGAATAGGCAACAAAACAAGCAGCAGAGACAATACAATCTATATCCAGAAAATGCTGCAGGTACTGTGTCTATAGGAGTCAGGGCCCCATAGGCAGCATTGGGCAATTCTGATCTAACCTACTTAACTGGAAAGTCCAAGTCTTTCCCAGTTGCCAGCTATTGCAGCTGTCCTCCTTCTCTCTTTCCACCAGCTGACCTTTGTCAGTGAGGAACACGGGGTATGCTCTGTTCTCCGTTGCTGGGGCTGGGCTGGTTCCTGTGGCCTTGTCAGGCCTAGTCATGTTTATTATAACATGTTTATACTAACAGTGGGCCTTCTCTTCCCACACCCTCTTTTTTAATTTCCTTTCACTCCCTTTAAAATTTAATTTTAATTTCCTTTCGCTCCTTTTTTTTTCTTTTTTTTCCAGGAATCATATATGACATATGAGGATGAGCTGAGGCTGGTGGGAGAGCTGATCACAGTAATTGGAGCTGTAGTAATTTTGATCCTTGAGGTAAGAGAAACAGTGAGCTATATAGTCTCGAGTTTAATCAAGACAGATTTTACTTACTAGACAAACATGAGTTTGTGCTCACAACTTGGTAGGGGTTATTTGCTTAGTCTAAGTGCTTTGATATATGCCGGTGGCAATAGACACTCTCAACAGTAAGACTCCAGGTGTGGAAGAAGCAATTAGAAGGACTGGCCATGCTATCAAATGCTATCTGCAGGGTAATGCCACAGTTCCCGTTAGCACCATCTGTGGGTCCACCTGAATCCCAGCTGTTGAATGAGATTCTTAGGGATTCTTCACCCAGCACCCCTAAATACTCATGTGTTTAGGGGTGCTGGCTGAACTCATTTCTGTGCATACACAGAAAAGTATATTTAACTGGAGATCAGCGACTGTATGGGCCTATAACAGGAGCCTTACTCAACCAGAGTTCTGAGGTGAACATGTTTAGGTGTTCTCCTTACCATGAACTCTCCAAAAAAAAAAGCAAAAGTTCTTTAAATTAAAACAAATACATCCCCCACTTGATTTTATTACAATATGAAATAGAAGACTGAAACTCTTATATGAGAAAACTCAAATGACGATGCCAAGGTGAACTGAAATAAAATGGGGCTTGTAAACAGCTTTTTCTCTGCCCATATGTGTTCCAGAAGGACAGGTCCTTCTTCCTTTGTTTGGTCAGGACTCTGGGGCTACATGACAACTAACACAGAGAGTCTGAAACTCCTTTGATTCCCCAAGAAGGTCTTTTTTGTCCTCATTTCTGAGGCTCAGCTGTTTGTCTGGTCTCTTCTCAGTAATCTAGACGAACTTCAGGCTCACAGCTCTGTGCTGCAACATCTCTCTGCCACATACCAAAGTCTCTCAATCTGCCCAAGCATTCTTAGATTTTCCAGCAATCTGTGTCACATCCCGAGAGGGGCCCATCTGACTCAATCATGCAGTTTTTAAAGTAATATAGAAATCAAACTGTGAACCAGCAAACAAAGCAGATGCAGCTGGCCTCCAGATCCTGTGAATATTGGTGGTTACCATGACATTTAATAGTATAATAGAATCCGTCTAAGTCCTAAAGTCAATAGGATGTCTCTCTTAGATCCCAGATATCCTTAGAGTTGGAGCAGCAAAATACTTTGGACAAACCATCCTAGGAGGGCCTTTTCACATAATTGTGTAAGTACATCACTTTTTAAGTCTAATAGATACATTGTCTCACATTTTCCCCACTGCTGTCTTTTGCCAGATGAGTCACTTTCTCCATTCTTTTAGAGTATTCCTTCTCTTGATTTACTTCTCTTACTGGCTCAACTGGTGTGTAGGAAGCCAGGCGAGTGGACAGGTAGAGTTGATAGTGCTGAGAGGTCTCTGCCTATGGGGCTGGTGGCTATATGTGCCTGTCTTGGAATTTTTGAAAAGAAAAGAAAAAAGAGGGTAAGATTCCTTTACTGAACTTTTTTCTGTCTCTTCCTCCTTTGCAGCATCACATATGCGTGCATGATTCTAGTAACCATGGTGATGCGTCTCACCAGCACAACTGGTGAGGTGGTGCCCATGTCCTTTGCCCTGGTGCTAGGATGGTGCAATGTCATGTACTTCGCACGAGGCTTCCAGATGCTCGGACCCTTTACCATCATGATCCAGAAGGTATAAGACACAAACAAATATGGGCTTGTTACACACATCCTGACACCTCTTTGCAGATAGGGAGAACTGAAGGAATACTTTTTCTCCCTCAGGACTAGCATTAATGGTAAATGGAAAAATTCTTGTCTGCAACAGAAGGTTTGGGACTTTCACAGTCTCTCTTTAGTGCAGAATTTTCCTTTAGTCCACTCATAGTCTTAGAATCTGGAAAATGGTTTACATAGGGTTGCACTGTGGCTTGGTGGAACAGTTGGGCCTTATGGTGGCTCTGTCTTTGCTCTACAGATGATATTTGGAGATCTTATGCGCTTTTGCTGGCTTATGGCTGTGGTGATACTAGGCTTTGCATCAGGTGAGTCTACAAAAGGAAAACAGCGTTATGTTACCCCTGCCAACTTCTTTAGTATGAATTAAGCGCGTGGGGTTTGATTTATTCTCAGGTTGCCCTTTGAGTTAGCTGGCAAAGGTGGTGATAATGTATAGCTTCTATTTCTTTGAGCATGGTCACTTTACAGTACTGATTTCTGTTCTCATGAGTTTGGTTTTCAATTCTTGCTCTTTCCAGGGTAATAGAAATTAGGACAATCCAGATAATTCCACATATATGTAAGTTAAGGTTTAAAAACATACTGCATTTATGATATTTGTCTTTGGAAAATGAGATTAACACACATAGCTTTATTATATCCTTGAAGAAGAAAAGATCATTATTTTGAGAACAAATAAATAATCAAAGTAATTGTGAGTCATTTTATAATGGAGACCAGTGATTCTAATCAGGGATTTGTCCTTGTTATGCTGGGTATTGCACTAGCATAGAAACACATGCAGCAACTTCCCAGACCACTTTGTGTTGTCAGCATCTCTTTAGGACCCTGTTGTTGCTCTTGGAATGTGATTCCTGGTGTTAAACTCTCTCTCTTTTTCCCCCATTGCTCTCCTCTAGCTTTTTACATCATCTTCCAGACAGAGAACCCTGAAAACCTTGGGCAGTTCTACAACTATCCCATGTCCTTGTTCACCACCTTTGAGCTGTTCCTCACTATCATTGATGGCCCTGCAAACTATGATGTGGACCTGCCCTTTATGTACAGCGTGGTATACTTTGCCTTTGCCATCATTGCCACCCTCCTTATGCTCAACTTGTTAATTGCCATGATGGGTGACACCCACTGGAGAGTGGCCCATGAGCGGGATGAGCTCTGGAGAGCCCAGGTAATCTAATTTAGGTGGTAGGGGGTTCAATTTGAATAAAGAAGGGGAAAAGTTGTCCGGGGAAAAGTTGTCCAGGGAAAATGTGCTAGACAGAGCAATTACTTATTCTGCCATCCATGCTCTAAAGGAAGTACTTAAAAACCTCTCCTTGGCCTTGACTTTTCTGAGGGGCTAATACAATAAGCCATGTCCTTTTAATTCTGTTTTACAGCTTCTGTACATCAGCCACCAAATTTCTTTCATCCTTTCTATGAGTCTAAAGTGTCTAAGTGCAAGACTACTCTTCTGCACATCTTCCCATGTGAAACTGTCTTCCAGTATATCTTTGCTATGAGGGTATTCCTACCTTATTTCAAATAGCAGCTAGAAGCCCATCCAGCTTTACTCGTCCATCCTTTGTCTCCCTAGCTGGTTGTTCCTTACGCATGTAATCTCCTGTTAAATAGAATTAAAGTTGCATCTTTTTTAAAAATCACATTTCTGTGTAACTGAGAGTTAAATTATAATTATAGGGATTGACTGAGGGGAGATAGAATGCAAGGTTATGATTACAAGTAGGTCAGTAACGTCTTTAGATCCATTAACTCGTCCATCCTTTGTCTCCCTAGCTGGTTGTTCCTTACGCATGTAATCTCCTGTTAAATAGAATTAAAGTTGCATCTTTTTTAAAAATCACATTTCTGTGTAACTGAGAGTTAAATTATAATTATAGGGATTGACTGAGGGGAGATAGAATGCAAGGTTATGATTACAAGTAGGTCAGTAACGTCTTTAGATCCATTAAGAGAAGTTGGCCTGGCTCTCTTGCTTAAAAGGCAAAAAAATTCAACCAGATCAGTTATATAGCTGCTCAACAGGAAATCCATTTCCTAGTGTTTTTCTATGAAAAAGCAATAAGTCAAATGGTTAAATGTAGTTGTGTGGCCACATTGGTAAGTTCTGATGATAGTTAATGCAGATATAAATACTGTCCTCTTCTCTAGCTTGCAAATTAATTACCCTACTCATTGTCATCAGGTATGAAATTAAAGAAATTTAACAGTGTTTTAAGAGCACCATTGCTTCCTCAAACCATAGAATCATAGAATTGTTCAGGTTGGAAAAGACCTTTAAGATCATCGAGTCCTACCATTAACCTAGCACTGCCAACTCCACCACTAAACCATGTCCCTAAGCACCACATGGCACAGTTAGCACTAAAGTAGTGAATTGCCCTATAATAAATGGAGTATTGACTCTATGATTTTTCTTTGTTACATATGGAGCTGTAACGAAGTATGGTGATGGGTCAGTACTCATGAAACTGGTAATTTTGAAAGAGTCTCATTTTTTTTCTAATTCATCCGAGTTCTTTCTTTTTTTTGATTCTAAAGGTTGTCGCTACTACTGTCATGCTGGAGCGGAAACTGCCACGCTGTCTCTGGCCTCGCTCTGGAATCTGTGGGCGGGAGTATGGGCTAGGAGACCGATGGTATCTCAGGTGAGTTCTCTTCTAGTGTGTGCACGTAAGGATCCCAGAAGAAGAATCCAATGTATGGATGTTAATAAAGAGCCTTTCCAGTGGCCTGGGGAGGAGTGCTTAGAGCACTTCCCTTCCAGAATAGAGACCCCAATCTGTTTTCTGTCTGTGATTGATAGACAAGCACTGTTCCCTCAGAAAGCTCTGCTGTGCAATTCCTTGTGAAATCAGCTGATGTTTTCTTATCCAGTAGTCACAGCAGACAGACCCCAGAAATTGCATGAGTTATAAGGCCTGAATTTTTCTTTCAGACTTCTTATAATGACTATCACAACGCTTCACTGCTACTCTTGGTTGGCTGGTCCTGTCTATTAGATGCATGAAATGGCAGAAGCAGAATCAATCAATTAGGCGTTCAGCAGCAATGAACTGCACTACAGATGATTCAAAAACAGAATAGGAATAATTAAAGGCAAAATTTCTTTCTGGTGTGAACCTAGTAACTATATTATACTTTGCAAAGATTGCATCAGGTGGCAAAGTCTTGGGTCCAGGATTTCAGTTTAGGCACTAAAATAAGAAACAAACAAATTATCTGTAGTCTAGATAACACTAGATTCCTCATTATTTCTGATTTTAATCAATATTTATACCAGCGTGAGAAAAGATTAAACTTTGTTTGGGCACGTGTGTTTTCTAACTGCGTCATCTTTTGCTGATAAAGCCAGAAGGGGGAGTGGTGGCTGTATGAAATAGGTCTTTCTGCAGGTTTTAGCAGAGAAAGGAACCTTCTGGATTTTCATGTTTGCTGGGCAGAACAAGCAGACCCAAAGTGGTACCAATATGCAGCACCTTCCATCCAAGGTGCAGAATTTACTTTGCAAGAGCAATATCCCAGCAACAATTCTTCATTGGATGCTATGAGAAAAGAGTGTTGGTGTGATCTAGTTCTGTCAAATTAAATGTATGCTTATTGTATATAGTGTGAGACAGTATTTCGGAAGACAAGTTATAAGTAATGTAGAGAAGGGTTGGTGGAAGTGGAGCAGTTAAATAAAAGTTCAGCAAAAGATAAGTGGCATCCTGAGGCTAGCAACCATGGAGTATCAGAGGAGGAAAGGCAAGAACAAAGGAAATGGATGAATATATGCGTATATACAAAGGATCTGGAGCTAGAGTCAGGTGGGGTAGGCCTGCCAATAGCTTACAGCTGGCAAAATGGAAAGGGCAAATTATGACTGGGAAATGAGTTAAAGGACAGGAAACCACAGGCAGATAAGGGTACTGAAGTCAATGATGGGGATGAAGGTCTAGGAGATAATTGTGTGCTAGCAGCTGCTAGCACCATGCCTATAATCAGTTTCCTGTTTCTATGTAGATTTTCTGGAATGTCTGGGTCAGTAGGGATATTTTTGGGAGGGGCCTGCTTCTTGTGGCTGCTTGGTTTTGTTGATAAACTGGCACATTTCTACTTCATTCAGTTTATATTTTTTAATCCTCTTACAGAGTTGAAGACAGGGTTGATCCCAATAAACACAAGGTGATGCGGTACACAGAAGCATTTAAGGCTCAGGATCGGGATAACTATGACAAAGGTTTGGAAAAGATGGAAATCAATAGGAACATCCTGTACAAGAAGGAACTGTCTGCTCTGTCATTGTCACGGAGCACATCCAGGACTAGTTCTCACCGTGGCTGGGAGATTCTGAGGCGCAACACCTTCCACCAACTTTGTGGAGAGGTCAGTCATACCATGGAAGAGGAGGTCTATGATGTCTAAGAAGCCTCTTTTTTTACTCCACAACACGGATCACTTTTGCCACAACAGTTGTCTTCTCCAACTGTTCATACACACTCCAGCATGCTACACACATTCGTCAGCCTCGAAGATCTCTGCTGGTGAACAGTTCATGAACAGTTCATGGCATCTATGCTATGATATATGAATGCAGTCTTTTCTCTCCGACTTTTAAGTGTCCCTGCTGTTGCACTGATACTTGCACCAAGCTGGTGGGCTTGTTGTGCTAAGGTCTGTGGTGGTTTGTTACGCTTTGCAATGCCCTACAGAAATGAGGAAAAGAAGCCAGCAATGGGATTTCATCCATTTACAAAGAAGTGATCAGTAAGCCCTTTCCCAGACTGTTACATACAGTATAATCTCTCCCTCCAGTTTCACAAAATCCCAATGCTCTCATGGCAAAGAGAGCTGACTGAAGTTCTGTTTTATTATTTGGTACAGAACTGAAAAAAAATCCTGTAACTAAGCTCAGGAATGAAGGTAGCTGCTGACACTGTGATGATTAAAAGGACTGTAACTACTCAGCTGGCATTCAGGGCCTGACAGATTTTGCCCTCTGAAGAAAGGCAGTCTCTATTAGCTGCATTTTCAGCATTGCTATCTTGGCAGGACTGTTTTGGTTTTGATTTGGTTTTCTTTTGGTTTGCTTGTTTGGGTTTTTTTGGTGGTGGGTTGTGTGTGTTTGTTTGTTTTATTTTGTTGTCACATGAATGCACTTTAAGCTTTTGAAAAGAAGTGATTGCTATTCCTGGGAGGATTCTGAAGGATCTGAAGTGGGAACTTCTTTTCCTAATGAGAGTATGAATGACCTGGTTAGGTGACTTTCATCAGTGTGAAATTTCAGCAGAGCTGAAATTGTCCCAAGTAAGCTGAAGTTGGTCTTTTGTTTTCTGTGGAAGAGTAGGATGCTGAACCATAGTTCTCTGCCTTATTACTGAGCCATCAAGGTTGGGTAGTGAGCTACAATATAGCACTGAAAGAAATGGAGAGGAAATGTTGGATAGATAAGAGCTATTGCAGAGGCAGTTCAGAAACTGGTGCGCTCTCTCTCTCTCTCTCTCTGATAGTCTAAAACTATCCAATGAACAACTGAGTCATCCACACAGTTCCCTTCCAGGTAAGATGCTGTGCCAGTCTGTCAGTTTGTCATCTGCCTAGGGCCACTTTAAGAAAAATGAAGAAATGTTCAGAGAAATGGACTGTCATTTCAGGGTTTTTTGTATTCTCAGGAGTGTGGAGTTTCATTCCAATAACAGAAGTAAGTGGAAAGCAATCCATGGTCTTAACATTTCCTTCCAACAGGACTAGTAACAGAAACTTTGTTTTTTAAGAAACTGAGGATTATTATCTAGCACTAGACTTTGAGCCAAATCACCCTGTGATAATCAAAGCAGATAATGAAAAAGCTGAATCCAGTGGATTTCTGATTATATTGAAATATGACAGCAAACATCTCCTACATCTTCTCTCTTGCAGGTGCTGTAATGAGCATCATGATCTTTGCAATTATGTGTGTTTATTTAAATATCCTCTTTCTCTTACTTGAATGTGTATTTATGCTCCAGTGGAAGACTGACAGAAGACTGTGTCTCTGGAATTCAGCTGCACACTTTTGAGTTGACTCATTTTGTTGAATTGAAAGTGTTGCCTGATCTTGCTCGCTTAAGTATTGTCAGTCCTTCCCAAAACCTTTGGGGTTTGTACTGGTGGTCTATGGAGGTGGGAACAATTAACCAGAACTGTGAATTGCTGCTCTAATTGTAGATGAATTTTCTTTCATAGTGAATAGGAAATAGCAGGAAGGGGAGAATGGATGGCTTCTCCCTCCTCCCCCTGCCCCCAAGTATAGTAGTCTTTTCACTAGTTTGAAAAGCTGCAGAAATACAATTAAGATGGAGCTGCATATAGCCGTTTTTACAAAAGGACTCCTCTTTGTGACATAATATTAATAATAATAATAATAACAAAGCTAGTTTGAAGTATAAGCTCTGTAAGCCCTGGTTCTGATTTTGCGTTCTTCTTCATTGCTATAAACAATAATGAGAATTTTGATCTTGGAACTCAAAACAACATATTGACATTGCAGGAGGCAGAACAAAACTTAGTTAACAGTGCTAGGCCTTTATAGATTTCTGTACCTGCTCTCCATAAAAAGAAAAGAAAAAATCCAATAGCAGATATTTTTAAGGAAGCGCCTTCTTTTGTAAAACTACATTCTGTAATAGTTAGCTTTCAAACTCCTTGCACAGAACCCATGCATAGAACAGCATGAGAACTGTGTGATTTATTTCCTGTCTTTAGAGTTGCCTAATGTAAATAAGATAGACAATCATAGAATCATAGGATTTTTTGGATTGGAAGGGACCCTTAAAGGTCATCTAGTCCACCCCCCCTGCCGTGGGCAGGGACATCTTCAACTAGATCAGGTTGCTCAGAGCCCCGTCCAACCTGACCTTGAATGTTTCCAGGGATGGGGCATCCACCACCTCTCTGGGCAACTGTTCCAGTCATAGAACAGCATGAGAACTGTGTGATTTATTTCCTGTCTTTAGAGTTGCCTAATGTAAATAAGATAGACAATCATAGAATCATAGGATTTTTTGGATTGGAAGGGACCCTTAAAGGTCATCTAGTCCAACCCCCCTGCCGTGGGCAGGGACATCTTCAACTAGATCAGGTTGCTCAGAGCCCCGTCCAACCTGACCTTGAATGTTTCCAGGGATGGGGCATCCACCACCTCTCTGGGCAACCTGTTCCAGTGTTTCACCATCCTCAACATAAAAACATTTCTTCCTGACTGCTTCCAGTTCCCTAAAGTCACTTGCATATTAAAAAAAAATTCTGGAAAAAGACCTACAAAAGGGCGCAGAATATTTTACCAATAGTAAATGATTCCCCAGTCAACTTTGCATAATCCTTTTGTTGATGATGAGTGGTGCAGACTGTTTTTAGCATAATTTATTTGATCTGGAGGATAAACAGCTATAGAAGAAAATTTGAGGTGGGAAAAGTCAGCAAATATAATGGGCACACCAGAAGCTGGAAATATTAAATTTAATATGTAAACCCTCTTCCATTAGGACATATACACATGAGCTGTGCCCATATGAACCTCAGATGATGAAGTAATAGGAGGCACTAGACTAACATTTGAGCTGGTTCAATGCAATCTGGCTCAGACTCGGAACAGCAATGACTACAGTCACACAAAGGCAAAACACTTTTGCTGTAATATTCTGCATGAATGTGCTGCTTCAGGATTTGCTTCAATTTTTTGCATTTCGAGTTATATCCGAAAATTCCGAAACAGTATTGCTCCTCCTTGCTGTTGCAAGGTGTCTTTCCTCTCCCTCCTAAAAATTTTGCAATAATTTCAGAGCAGGCATTCCTCCCCTCCTTTGAAACCGCTATCCTTAAACTATCTTCTATGTTACTGAAGCAACTTCTGAGTTTATGATAATGTGATAAGAATGCATGTTTTAATCCAGTTGGTTGCAGTAAAATGAGAAGTATTTTGCTGAAAATAAAAACATTAAATATATGGAGTATCTTGTCTGCTTCTTTGTGTCTAAAATAAATATAATGGGCCAATTTTTGTGTTTGTTTCTCTAGTAGCAATCACGGACATGAGTTGACAAATTGTTTGGATTGTCATGTTTGGGTCCATGTTAAATTTTTTGGATTAAAGCTGTTTCTCCCCAGCAATTCACTTCAGAAATTTCTTTATACAAAATCTGTATGGAGTTTCAAATACCGATTTCCAGTTCAAAATAAGAACTATCAAGGCCCTTATTTTTTAAAGTCATTGAGTGTTTAGTGAAAACTGTGGTACAAGTTCTTTGGAGAAGAAGCCATATTTTCATGTTGGTGGAATGACCTATTTTGTACGGTGAGGCGATAGTCCTTGCTATAGCTGCTTGCAATAAAATACACATAGGTACAGAGAGTACTCAGTAATACACACACAAAACATACAGAGAGCCCAGTTTGGTGTGTATAATTATGGTTCACTGAATATGATGTTTACACCATTTTTTAAATGATTACTATGACTTCCTTTCTAACCTGGTAAAGGGTTTCACCTTATATTACGCATTAAAGCAAATAAAGCACAGAAACTGTAAGTCAGACTAATGGGATGAATCCTGATTAATGAATTTCCATAAACTCCTATTGAAGTGCCTTCTGTACTCTTGAGAAACTCAGCTGTAAACAAAGGGTCTTGCTTATTTATTAGATATCAATAAAATTGCTAATATACTGAAACAATAGTTTAATTGGGCTTTGTATTTGCACTTGTTTTTTCTCTTGTTTGCAATATCTAACTTTAGTCCCAGTAATATGTGCTATTTTTTTCAGATATTTATAATAAATACAATAACAAAACCATCCTTATCTATGTCTTGTACAGAAGTAAACAAGTTAAAACAACACTTTAAGTTGATTTTTTGAGAGCTTTCTAAATGGGAATAATCAATCCAACAAATACTTGGTTCATAGAAGATTAGGGTAATATTTAAAGCCATTAACTATTGATTTTAAGAATAAGGTTATTTTTATTTCTGAAATTACAGCATTTTAATCAAGCTCTCAACTGTTCATAGAGAACTCTTTGGCAAGAGTTTTGGGCCTGTCTTGAGAAATCTGCAATCCAAGAGAAGAAACTAGTGAAGATGTAAGCAAGCATCTCTGAGATGGGCCATATGATAAGCCTCTGGTCTTGCTACTGTTTTATGCTGGGTTGATAATTGCCAAGTATGTAAGATCTGCTGCTATTTTTTCCTCTCTGCTGCTCCAATAGAAGCACACTTTACCATCATCCTTCTGCATGCATGAAAACCTTGTCCTTAGAACACCTTCCTACTCATTAATCAAATGCATTCATTCGCTGAAGTTCTCTTTTTGTTACAATGAATTAATTGAGACTATAACTCAGAAAGAAGCAGAACTGGGAAAGAAAATACTACAGTGTTCCATAAGCT